CGGACCCGAGCCACTCGAGCGGCATCCCTTGCGTGGTAGTCCTCGCCGGTGAGCTGTGATCGTTCCGACTTCAAGCGACGGCGACATCTCTTCGCACTTTTACTTTCTACAAATTGGAAGTGTTGGATGGCCATCTTGGTTGCGAAAATAGAAGCTTGGTGTAGTAAGAGAGACAGAAAGAATAGGGATCCCAAGGCGAAGTGTATCAGCGGGAATGAGGAGTTGTAGGAATCGCTCGATAGCGAAGCGCACGATGGTATTTATACATCTTGAGAAGGGGAACAAAATGGAAGGATGCTCGAAATGGATCGCACGAAAAGACGGCTGCGAGCCCGAAAATAGATCCCTTCTCGGGCCACGAGCAGAACGTAGCCACGGCCACATCTCTCGGAATCGTGGCCTCGTGGTGTTCTTCTCTGCGTCTCTCCAACCGATGTCATCCTTGCCCTTGAGCCAAAAGGAGCTTTTCAAAAGGACGCTTCTGTCAAATCGTTATTTCGAGCGATCGGTCGTTTTGCTGCGGCGCTTACATGCTCTCGGGCCACGTTCTTGAGACCCAAAATCGTGGCCATCAAAGGTTTTGACTTGTTATCCATCAGCACCACCGATTTAAAACAGGCTCGTAATGTAGTAATGGCCGGCCGGTTGTGTGAGCCGCTAGAAAAGTGGTGACTGCTAGTAAAGGAATGACTGCTAGTAAAGGGGTGACTGCTAGTAAAGGGGTGACTGCTGTGATGGAAGCTAACGGAACACCCGAGTCTAGAGGAAGTGTCGTCATCGACCTGGGTTGCGTTCCTGGATTTCTGGATTTCTTTTGCCTGCTCCCACATCTACCCTTTCTATTATTTTATGCGTCTAATCTAGTAGAATATTCGCGCTAGCGTCGATGCCTGTGCTGGTCTGTTACGCATCGGTCTTTCAGGCAGGGGCACCCCTTCGTTGTCCTGTTACAGAAATCGCCCTCCAGCAGGGCGACTGCATGGACCCCCCCGCAAGACAAAAATCGTCACTTCTCATTACCCCCAGCAGAGCCGTGGACTGCCTCTTCTAAAGTAAGATGGTGTGTCATTTGTCGGCACACCACGTCTTGGCGTCCGTAAGCACGCCAAGAACGTGACTTTTAATGGGATTATGGCTTGGCGTGCTCCTGGCAACACACGAGGTGGTTGTCTCTCACTGTCCTATTCCTGCTCCCATCGACAGAGGCCATAAGCGCCACAGCATACACGCGATGACCATCGAATCATGTATGTTGATCCAAATCGCCTGCTGGCTTGCGTAAAAAATGCTAAAAAGTGAAAATGCAAAACTGCAAAATCGCTTTTTCGCAGGAGTGCAGAAATGCAAGCCGCACCAACGCGCCAAGAAACAGCTAAGCTTTAACGGTCAAAAGGTAGCTCCTGGATGATAGGTAGAGAATTTTCCAGACGATTCTTATGACACTGGCATGATGATGAACAGGAACAGGCTAAACACATGGAGCGACCGCGAAACCAACAAGAACCCTGTGAAGCAGAAGACTACCCGGAAGAAGTAGATAGAGAGCGAGTTGCGCAAGCAGCACATCCAGAGCAGGACGCATCTGCGCAGATAGAAAATGCCTCCAAACGAGTCACCCAGCTTGATCGGAGAAGTTTACTCGGACAAAGGTCCGAAAAAGATGAACATTCTGGCGAACCACGTCCCGAAGCATCATCACAGGCTGCGTCAGGTCAGGGGAGGATCAGAATCGTTTTTAAAATTCTCGAACGGGGGAATTGGAGGGAGGCGGACACAGTATCAGTCGACCCCGCCGAAATCGATCAGAACGGGCGTTGTTCCGTGGTTGAGCGGCTAGTGATGTAATACCGGCGAAAAAGGGTCGGATTCACCCCGTGCGACAAAGACAGCCGGGACATCAGGCCTTCCGATTGTTTTCGGGTAGCGTGAGAAGAAGGAACAAACACAGTCCTCTTTATTCCAATGGTGGAAGCAACCAGAGACAGACAGCTTGACTTCGTTTCCAACAGGTTTAAGCCTGCGGAGCAGGTAGCAAAAAAACGTCGCGAAGCTTATTGTAATGTATCGACCTAGAAACTATCTATATATGCAACAGTCGGCATGGGTTTGGAAGTGTACTGTTCTGTCTATCACAGAATCTAATCTGTTTTGTATCCACGGGGTACTTCGGTCAAAAGTCATAGACCAGCGAAGGTCCTGTGATCGCTGCTCTATGTTTGGAACTGACACAGGTCAGTCGGCACAGGTCAGTTTGACCTGTGTCGAACAGATCTGTGTCAGCGTAACTGTGCCAGCTCACATAAGCACCAATGGTTTCGAAGAGGGCTTGGTATCGAGTGACACTTATGGCTTATGGGTTTCTGGATGGATACTAGGGTACCACGGGCACCCTTTCCTTCTTTTTCCCTCAAAGGTTTTTTGAAGGTTTTAACGGGGCTCGTCGCAACCGTGATGAGTAGTCGCTGGCATCCTTGGGTGGGAGTTGCCATCGAGTGGGAGTGTTGAATATCGCTGTGGCTGAGCATCACGGTGGCTGAATATTGTGGCTGGGGCTGGAACTGATATATATATATGTGCTGTTCCGTCTCAGTGTAGAGAGCATAGATAGAAATAACAATCCCATACTCTGAACCTATTTCAACAATTTCTGTGGTCTTGTGGCGACCAAGGACCCACGGTCAAAGAGAGCCACGTCATTAAAATATTTCACTTGATGACTCAATATTTGCTGGACAGCAAGATTCTTTTTCGTCGGCGCTTAGCTGCTCCTTTCGCGCCTCAGTGTATTTAAGTTTAATTAATTTAGTGCTGCGTTCGCTGTAATCTCTTCTTAAGCGCCGCGTCCTACCGGCCAACTAAAATTGAAAACGACTCCTGTCCAACCCCACAGAATGCAGCAGACGCACCCAATCGATAATTTGCGGAGCGAAGCGAAGCAAAGACTTAGGTCAATATATATATATATATATATAGCTGCTTCAAATTCCTAATTAGCAGGGAAGGTGCAGCCGAGGGGTCCTATCCTGTGATCTTATTGGTCCAAATGTGTGCACGCTCACGTGATCTCAGTTTGCAATGAAAGGTTTAGCCAGGCCAGAAACTGCATGCATCTTCTCTGTTTTGTGCAATGCAGCTCTGACATTCAAAATACACAGTATCTACACAGTACAGCAATATTTTGCATTGTATTCTTTCTCCGCAATATATTAGCACATTAAGATTCATGTGCTAAGAAACATTTTACTATTTTCCGACTGGACGATGCTTTTGGCCTTGCAGGATGAGGGTCAGCTCAAAATCCCGGCCCCATTTCTGTCCTTTGGAGCCTATCACTCGAGAAATTGGTACGTGTTGTTCTTACGGCATATCTCCTCAAAAATATGGTCATTATATAAATATTTTCCTGGGGCACTTTCTTTCCATGCTTAACGTGCATCAAGTTATGTATCTCCTGGGGCTGTTTTCGTTTCAACGGCATTTTTTTTTGAGGCGGATCAACCACGGCTTACCGTAGCACCTCAAGGGTTAAAATTTCCCACAGAACCGTTTCTGGACCTTGAGGGGGACCACGTATATCTCAAATATCATGATTCCCTTGAACATTTTAAAATGTTCGAGGCATTTTCAGTTCTTAGGGTGCTCTCTAATCTCAAGGAAGACCACATTTTAGTATCGATGCCATGATTCTTGAAATATTTCATAGTCCTGAGGCATTTTAGTGTCTGAGATGCTCTTTAAGCTTGAGGGAAACCACACTTTTCATGGAAAATGCCATGTTCCTTAAGACATTTTATAACGAGGCATTTTTAATCCCCAGAATACTTTTTAAACTTGAGAGAGATATCTCCTCTCTAGGGCGCTCTTCAACCCGCAACACCACGATTGTGGACACAACTCGAGGCACAGCATTGTTTTTACTCACCATCCACCGTTCCCAAGGAAAGGAAATCCCCACGGCAGCCCACACAATTATTTGCATCGACTATGATTTTTATCTCTCCACAAGGCAGAGTTATCCACCTAAAGCGGCCACCTGTCCCCAGGGCACTTTGTATATGAACCATGCCCACACTTCCGAGTAGTTCCCAGTGCATAGCACTAGATTTAAGAAAATGGCAGAGACCATGATTTTTAATCTACCCACAAGGCAGAGTTATTCACCTAAAGTAGCTCTCTGCTCTCAAGGCACTCTGAATATTAATCACGCTCATGCTTCAGAATAGTTCCCAGGGCATAGTACCAGATGTAAAAAGTGGCGCAGATGTAAGCGGAACTATATTGCCTCAGAAGTCGAAAATAATCATGGATTATATTTCACAGAGTGATCAACTGAAATTGCAAACTCATTACTTTTTGACAACAAGTACAAGTCGGCAAAACTGGCTGCCTCCGGGGTTCTGTATGCTACAAACCTCGCCCTACCCCTACATAAAGTAATAGATAGGACTTGACAGTTATGCCGTATCGCTACAAAAAGAACTCTCAATTTATTACTACGGGTGAGGGTCTGGGGAAAGATGGCTTTGATTGGGCCAGAGACAGAAGTCATACATTGTTAAGATCATCAGGAAGGTCCTTGGAGGTTATGTTCCATGAAATTAGGTTTGAAAGTCCAATGATATTAAAATCTTTAAACATGCACTAGTTACCAAAAGATCAAACAGCTTTTCAAACAGGATAATCTTGTGGGCCCGCTCCTCCACGCTCTGGAATGTTAACTTTTCTAATAATCATTATTGTAGCGACTCTTCGTGCATAGTTGTCCAACTGAGTTCAATGGCGCTATTCCTTGGACTTTGAGGCGGAATTCCGACGGAGCAATTCCCTACAGCGCTCCAGGCTGATCTGAGCTTTTGAAAGTTCTTTAGAAAAGGTAAATCTGTTCTTCCCAAGCCTTCTCCTCTTTAGCCCGAGGTTCGGTGATATAGCAGATAGCGCATTTCGCATCTCAGCTCGTTCAAAATCTTCACGCATAGGGCGATTGCAGTCCTCATTCCATAAAATATTGAA